GGAAACTTCTGAAGAGCTCTGCGTATACTCACGGCTGAAAGTCTGATAATACGAAGAACCTATGTTATCCACAAACTTTTGGGACATCCCTTGCTGGGCAAGCGTATCAAATACACCAGACCAGTCAGCCTGTTTTAACGTGATTTGTAAGTCCACGAATACCAAATTTGTGGGTCGTTCATACGTATGGCGTCGTTCTAGCGCCTAAAAGAGTGTGGATTTGGTTGATGGGACCCCGGCAGACCGGATTCCCCTTGGTTGCTCTCGAGTCAGTGCATCATGGGTCACCATAAGGTGACGAGGGACAAGTGATGCCAATAGTCGTTACGAGTCAAGCTGGTCCATCTGTAATAACTGCACTCACTACGGACCTTTTTTGGATCTGGGTAGTATCACCGATTCTCTTCAGTTGCCTGAGACAGTCTCCTTTTCCCAAACGGATGCCAATAGATAAAGGCGACTGACCGTTGATCCGTGATAAGTGTGCAGTGATTGCCAATCAGTTAGTGTCTCCATTTTCTCAGTGCCTGAACAATCGCATACGCTTCTTTCTCAAGTGCTTAATGATAACGCTCACTGTGTGACAGTACGTGAAAAGAAAGCTGTCGGGCGCCTGTCTTGATTGAGAGTGGACGCAATGGCTATGTTGGAAGCATCAGTTTCCACAGCGAGTGAACGAGCGTAGTCTATGGTGAACCCGGCGGCCTTTCCCAAATCGTGTTTGAGATTATTCGATGCAGCTTGTACGCTATCTGGAATGGGGGAGATCTGATTGTGGACGATTTGATGAATTTTATCTGAATAATATGGGATCCAGTGTGCGTAGTATGTCAGCATTCCGACCAATCTTCGTTGTGAACGAATGTCACATAGACGAGGTAACTCCCGTAGGGCTCGAAAACGTTGAGGGTCTGGCTTTTATCATACCATGAGATAATTCGTATCCTAGCAACAGTATTTTCGCAGTAGCTACGATGCTCTTTCTGGTTAAGTGTAATACCGTGACGTTTTGAGGCCTCTAGGAGTTTCTTCAAATTTCGATCGCAGTGAGATCTCTAGCCGTTGACTAACCAGGTATGAGACACTGCGATTGCCGCACGGACACCATTCAGCATGGTTCAGTGCGTCACGCAAACACAGCCATTCACATCATGCTGAGGTCCAATCTGTCCGTTGCGGATGATGTAGTAGGTTAGCGCTAATTTTTTTCGGTATTGCTTCCAAATTAGGTGTCATCATCAGGTGTGGCTTTAGCTGCAACAGTTTCGTTTACCGATGATTTGGAGAGATGTGGTAGCTGGCTGCGTATTGGAGGCGGTGGCTGGTATAATTGATGCCTGAATATAGGTTTGCCAGTGGACTTTAAACTAGGCAGTGAAGCATCGGTGTTGAACACTGATGTCATTCTGTCGATGATGATGATGATTTTTAACTGGGGGGGTGGGGGTGGAAGGCAACATTTTGGATGCATAAATGCCATTGAGGGCGCGACTGGACCATCTCTGTCAGTGTCTCTAACAATTGATTCGTCCCGTCTCGGGGTCCCCACCCAGGAAGACGGCAACGACCAGCACAATTGAGTCTGCGGGCGATGGCTTCCATACTCCGTTGCCAAATCATTGTTTGGCCTCTCCTAGCTCCTTTCCACCCTTTGTGTGGCTGTGCGAAAAAAATCATCCGATGAAGCCGACCGACTGACATACCGAGCACATGGCCAAGCTAGCGCAACCTACGCAGTGTGATCAGTTCGTCTATCATGGACGAGTTGTTTCTCCCGAAAACCATCCGGTGTCCATACTAGACGGAGGCAATGCTCTAAAGACGTCGATGGTTAAAACTAAAAGTCTTGACGTTATCGGCGCGCAGCAGCCAGGTTTCTGACTCGTATAATAATCTAGAGCGAACCGTAGCATTGTAGACTCGGCTCTTGACGGACAAGCTGATGTCACGCCTACGCCACAGGTGATGCAAGTTCACGAAAGCTGCTCTGACCTTCCCAATCCGGATGTAAATATCATCCTTGACAAGACCGGGACTGTTGCAACTGCCCAGGTAAACAAATTTGTCTGCTTCCTCAATCGGCTCATCAGCAAGTATGAGGTTAGGGTTCGAACTCACCCAGTCTTGCAGCAGCACTGTACACTTTCCAGGTATCAAGCCAAACCGTGGGACACAATTGTTGTCATTTAATACTGTCTGCATTACCACGGTGTCAGATCCAAGAAGAGCTATGTCCTCCGCGTATTCGATATTTGTGAGCGAAGGCCCTGGGAGTACTTTGACCTCACAGGCATTAGGGGTTGGTAGTAAGTCTTCTATAATCGGCAGGGAAGCGTCAGCGTTAAGCTCTGGTGTTGTGCTATGAATGATGGTGTTGATGATAGTGATGTTTCCTTGCAAGGGCAATTTATGTCAAATCCGGTGGGCATGTACTGTTATACAGTAAGCTTTCGCTTGAGTTCACCATATCCAGTGGTGTAAGACGTGGCCACCCTATCTCCTCTTCAATTTGGTATGCTGTTTGGAACGTATGTGCCTGTATGCGAAACGTCGGAGGATAGAAATGCTCCTGGCGAGTTCGCTAGCACCCATTCTAAGTACCGTGCATACCTCTGGGTCATGGTCCGCTATGCACTCCTTATATGCAAAGTGTCAAGCTCTGCTTCAAGACAGGGCGGGAGAAAACTCACGTGTCTTGCTTGCAAATCAGTCAAAAGATGTGTCAATATCTTAGCCGTCCTACCTTTCTGGATTTCGGGGTAACCATGAGCAGAAAGTGTTACAGCTAGCGATTTATTTTCGTTGTGCTGACCTTATTAGGAGGGCTAAAACAGCTTTTTTCAAACTTCGATACCTATAGTTCCTGCACGGAATTAGCTCGCCTGTCATAAGCTAAGCACATACTGCGGCATTTCTTCATGGGTTGATAACATGACATCGACACGAAGAACGAAAGCTGGTCTCCGAAGCGTTGGCCGGGTCTGGTGAGAACATCGGATCATCAACGTCGATGTACACTTGGTGGTTTTACGGAGAAGGGACTCTCCCTTAATGGAATGTTCGAATACATCGGCTATGGCGTGTACTTCATTTCAGCGGATCGTTTGGTACGTAGAGCTCTTTTTGCTTACTGATCATTAAGCTCCAGTGGGTTGGCAACTACGGTCTTCCCTAATAGGAACTCTTGGACTCAGCCGATCGGTGTTTAGTCACGCTATCAGTAACGCTGCCCCAAGGCTGCCGTCCTCAATCCGCAACCACCTTGATCCCCATTTCTTCAGACGACGAGATTCAACAGCATTTAATAGCTTTTGCTGTCACCTCCAATTACTGCCTATATCTTCGTAGTCCTCCCACTGTAGCGGCTGGAATCAACTTACCCTTGGTACATTTTTCATAGCTAGTAAGATGAACTAACTGATGCTCAACTGTGCCTATCGACAGTGTAGTTATTTTGGATTTGAGAATGTAGAGCCTTTTGGAGTAAGTATCTATCCTTCCCTTAGACTTCACTTTTTACCAGGTTATCTTGCCTCCATGGTTGTATGGCAGTTAGATACCATTGTTTACTACTAGTTCAAAGCCGCATTTAATAATGACAAGAATGATACTGTATCCATGATTGAAAAGCGTGACTATCCAGAAACGTTTCGCTGTTCGGTCTTGTATCATAACTTGCGGGTTTCCACAGAGTTGGGTGCAGTGCAACATTTTGTTTTTTACAGAAAAGTATTGCCAAGTTAGGCCACCAGGCTGCACTTTAGTCTCGTTAGCCGGCTTTGATCTTCAGTTCACCATAAAATTGTTCATTTCCCAACACTATCTAACGTTTTATTCACCTCATATGTCAATCGAGAGGAGGTTGATTTTCCTATTCTCCTTACAGCGGAACAAACGAAAGTACACTACGACATACGCATCAAAATCATCGTGCACTATCTTATGAGGGAAATATTCCGCGCCGGGATTTCTAGCTTTCCATGTCCAGGAACAACCTAATTCTCTTGCTCGTCTTCAGTGCCGGTTTCGTTTGTGGCTACTACGCCCATATACTTCGTATAAAGTATCTCCGTAAGAAGCACGATTTTCTACAGAGGAAAGTGAAGGCGGTTGAACAGCTTCTGAATAACTAATTGAAAACATTCTGCGCAGAATGACTTCGGAGGAGGAGAATCTTTACGGTATTTCCTGGTCCAATCCTGCTTGGAGTCATCTGTTGTGCGCAGCCAATGTGTTGGATTATTTCTGTGACCTATCTAATCCATTCTACGATCGGCAGTGCAACAACGAGGTTATCCGCATGCAGCGCCTTAGCGCAGAACAGTTACTTTGCATGACCGGCGTTGAGTTCTATTTGCACCATGCACAGGTGAGTTTAAGTGGATGACTACGATTGTTCTTCAGGTTGTCATTATTCCTGGCTTGTATGTAGTTATGGGTTTTCGAGTTTTTCGAACTGGTCGAGTTGCGTGCATCAAACCCTGTCACCATTCTCACGGAAGATGTGCCAACTCGAGAAAAATCGCTCTGAACCTCGTAAGTCATGCGCGCACACAAAGTGGGTGTTTGACGGTGGGGTTAATAGCTTAAAACTTGAAGTTAAACGTCAGGCGATCGATCCCGCTGGATCCGCCTGATGAACCTCAGTCAGAGCGAAGCGCACAGTATATTGTATCTTGCAGGAGTTGTAGGCCCCTCGGATATTTGTGATAGGCTAGCTCTAGGCCCACCACCCTCCCTCATTTTTCCGTTTTCCATTGTGCAGCCTTATTCAAACAATTTGACATGGCCGTACGACAGTTGAAACACCAGGGTTCTGTGGTGTCACCGTCAGTGACGGTGAATAGTAATCCAGGACCGCTCACATTCACTATCCCGTTGCGCACTGTCCCTATGGTTGATCTAATATATAGTGTTCCCTCCCTCTCACTACCCTGCCTGTAACCAACCTATCCGTAATATATCCCCTATGGTTATGCGTGTCAGGTCATTCGTCGTTCCTAGACACGGTCGCATCTCTGGTACGACTAAATCCGTCTTGCTTCTTCGAAACGAATCCATTCAGTGAGAAGGCATTTTGTTCTCGTAAGAGTTCCTACTTACCATAGAGTGTCTATGCTGTCGAACAGTCCATATATAAATATGTTATCCCGAGCAAAGACAGTCCCACGTCGCAATTCCTATGGTATTTACCTCTCATCGCAGGTTGAACTTACAGTACCCCTTCTCCAGTACGACCTTGAGGAAACTGCATGAAGTCACTCACATTGGACGTGGTCGTGATACGGCTAGAAGGGACTTCACAGAGAGTGGCCGCTGGTGGGCGTCATTCTAATCCCCGGTCATGTACACAGCGTTCACAAGATTATCTTGATACGACTGACTGGAATCAGAGTCTATCCGACCTTAAGCATTTCCTTTCAAAGGATTTCACATCAAGTTCAATGAAAAAATCGATACCGTGCAATATTCCCGAGCCACAGGTTCAAGTGTACGACAGATCTACCAAATATTATTCACAAACAAAAGTCCCAAATTAATGTGATGGCGCCGCGCCTTATCAGCGGCCAAAATCTGTTGATATGAGTTGCATAGCTTACCTAGCTGCTTCGATCTCAATAGCTCTGTCCCTTACGTCGCGCAGCTGCTTTTCATTATTAGCTTGCTGTGGGCTCGAAATGGCTCGGCGTTTAGGTGCGAACTTGCTGATCAGAAGGTCTGTGGTTGGAACTAAACCCCGACATCTTAATGGCTCCTGTCTAGGCTTGAGAACCTGGCAGTATTCATTATTAGCTTGCTGTGGGCTCGAAATGGCTCGGCGTTTAGGTGCGAACTTGCTGATCAGAAGGTCTGTGGTTGGAACTAAACCCCGACATCTTAATGGCTCCTGTCTAGGCTTGAGAAGCCTGGCAGTATACTAGCTTCCTTCAGGTAGTATGGTATGGCAGCTAGGCACCCAACGGGTGCCACCGATAAACGGATTAGTTTACTGTGTGATTAGATCAGTGGCAAGACAACTCTGTGCCCAGCAACCCGAAGGCAGCAAGAAACCTGGATACTACCAGATCACCAAAGCCTGAATGGGTAAAATAGAAAAGTTAGAGCTTGTTTCAACCTATGGACCTGGTCAGTAGGTTCGCCTTTTAACCACTCAGTCATTTCGGGCTGTAAGCACATCACCTGAGGTGAAGCATTCGAAGACGTACCTAGGACGGTACTTAGATCAAGTGGGAGAGTTGGTTCTAAGAGCAAGGATTTTCCACAGTGGAGAATAACACCATGAACCCTTCAAACTTTTATTTCTTGGAGATATTCCTTAATTGGTGAGGTGGTCACATGAAACCATTAATTTCATGAAAGAAGCTTGGTTTGTCAGTATGATATGAGCTGCAACTTTTCATATAGGGCATCATAATGATGACGTCTATAATTCTTCTTCAATTCATCGGAACCAATTTATTCACTCGAAAAGTGCAAGGCAGTGTCCGAAAACAACTCTAGAAACACCTTTTTACGGTCGAATTTGCCCAACACAGAGCAGCAAATGACATTCCAGTCTTTTGTCGTCAGTTTATTGATCCGTCACTCGAACCAGCACACAGAGGCGCTTGTTCATTTCGGTCTGCTTCAGATATGAATAGGAAGATGGTCACCGTATAGCAACACATTGTCTTTTTTTCATTTCACCCTTTGTCCACTGGAGCCAGTTCCTATCAATCCGACATCATCACTGTAAGCACTATTTGACTTCCTCCACTCGCAAGCAGTTGTCACCAATAAATAGTGAATTGTCCGCGGTAGAGGTCATTTCTGGAAGATTGCTAGTAGAGATAATCGTAGGTAGTTTTCCGACACGGTTCAGTCAACCTTCGTCAGTTTGTACTCCGTTCCGTCTGACTCCGTATGTTTCATAGGTTGTCAGTTTTCAATTGAGGTCCTGAACCAATTCGCTAGCTTGTTGCTGCCCCAGTTTCCTCTTCGTGAAGTTGCTGAGAGAAGGTGCATGTTCGACTCTTGTTTTTGCCAACGAACCAATATCCCTCCGTCACCAAGTTTCTATTACCGGTAATAGCTTGTAGGCGAAGAAGTTGTGATGCCGCAAAAGGGCTTCTCTCTCAAGGACAGTAACCGCTTGGAGACGCCTTGTAAGGTTGGAGCACCGTGCAGTAGTTCCTCTTTGCCGATCTCCCCTATCGTGCCTCGTCCTCCATGCGATTGTAGGATAGGGTATAAGTTAGCCTTTCTACTCAGCTCTAATTCGACGGAGTTAGACTTTACGTTTGCGAAGTCATGTTAGGGCGGAATCACCATCTTGCTGATGTGCGTTCATGTTTTGACCGTTGCCCTTGTATCCGTATGTACACTTGCCCCAAACTTAATGACCTCATTCGCCATACTTATGGAGGAAGAACTCACTTCGGACTATGTCGCCAACGTTGCTCGATCCGTGTTACTCAACTAGCGGAAAATTTAATCGCGTACCGGACTGGAAATAGCTATTGACTCGAATATCATGTTCACGGCAAGTTCGTTCGGGTAAAAAAACGCTGGTAGAACTTTAGGTGCGAGTCATTACACTGAAGGTATTTAGATAAGTGGAGTTGTGCTTTGCCAAGTTTTGGTCAGCTGTCCTGCGTGGCTTCGCCGAAGCTGAAGCCTCCGTCCAACCTGTCTGCACAGCCCGAAACGAAAATAACCGGCAACTGCTGTACAGCAACTAGTAGTTCGAATAAATCGTGTACTTGGCGTTCGGTTTGTGCTTGTGTGCAGTGACCATGCAGAGTTTACTGGAGCTGTTGGAACATGCCTTACTCTTTGAAGGTTCATCCGCGTCGTTCAGAGCGCATTTACATCTGGCTTACGCTAGATAGTCACGGTGTGCAGTTGACCTCTGGAGATACTACATTAGTTGTTCCCTTGAAGTCTATTAATTCTAGGACACTTCCACAGAGGAGCCAGTTTTCGTCAGTCCCTCCCTGTGATGTCACCATCAGCCATGAAGTGCGCAATTTTTTTCTGTATAGCATGATTTCTACGAAGAGTGCTGGTGGAATTGATGTCGCTGTTAAACGTCAGGTGTGACACCCGGCATCTTTGATGTGCACAGTCGTGAATGTTCCTTCTTAAGTATGCGAATCGGAAGAGAGCAACTCATCATTATCAGAGACTGCAATTTCTGTGTTACTAGTGATGCTTCACTGAAGTTTATTCAATTATATTTGAAGCCTTAAAGTAAAAAGAGAGAACAGTGAATGAGGTAGGTACCTTATGCTAGCCTATCGCAAGCATTCTGAGATGCTTACACCTTCAGGCGCTCATGGGTGACTTCGCATCAGTTACAATGTTTCTGGTACATGAATACCGTTGGCTGAGTGATTGGGCCATGCTCGTCAGCCTCCAACCTGCTGCGTTGATACCTTTGGCAGGATGGCGACTTATCCAGTGGATAAGCATAGGGTGAAAGGCCTAATCACAGGTTTTCTTCTGTCTATGCGGCGTCATTCATCCGTTTGTGACAGGCTTTTAAGCTTCACTAAAGTTTCGCTTTCTGGTCTAATCTTGAATCTCACATGGGATGAACTAATTGCAGTGGATTTCGATGATTCCGTATGGTCGTCAAATTAACTAATTTTCCGTTGATATATTTCAGGTCAAACTGACAGCTGGTGAAATATGAAGTGATGATAAGTCTTTGTCATCAGGGAGTTGATAATCGGATTCTAGTCCACTTCAGGCAGAAATAACATGCGTCAAAGCATGTAGAAGACTATTTCACAGTTGCACTTGCCGCTCCCCGCTCATGGAAGGCCTTTGTGGTCTGCAGTCGTGGACCTGTTTGGTGATGCGTTACTCAGTCTGTACCCTGCACTTTACGTCACCATCAGGTTGTTTGAATGCGGACAGCAGTAGACTGCAACCGAGCCTTGATGCTCACAGAACCACTGTGTGACCGGTATGCGGTCGCTAATGTGACCAACTAACGTTCATCTTGTCCCCTCGACTTCATCATTGCAATTGATTTTCACTTCGCAAACATCCTGCCCATGTTATTCGTAACCTGGTGACCAAGACAAATCACTTGGATATGTGACTATCCGCACTCCATATGTTTTGCTATCCTTTCCGAGATAATCTAGGGCGAATGATTTATGCGTTCCACAAGAGCCTAACACATTGCTCGGCTAAGTGCTCATTTTTCTTTGTTCGGTAACGGCCGATTCGAAATCGATGGGTTTTTTCCTCTTAAGTTGCCCACTAGTGTAACCGTGGGTATTACTGATGAGACATGCGAGTAGTATGTGGTTTTCTCGTAAATCCGCCTCGCTTTGCAGCGTTTACAAGGTGCATATGAGACATTTGTTTTTCAGTTCAATAGTTTGTAACTGTTTAGTTGGTGTTTGCTAATAAACGACTTTGCGGCGGAGGGTTTTCCTCCGTGCATTAGGAGTCATTCCCAATACTTTGATTTAAATGTACATAGATGAAGTTGATCCGAGTGGACCTCTAGACGGCCTTTGCACTTCACGTTCTGCTGATGAACACAGCAAATGGGAGGTTCGTTCTCACCGGGATGATGAGAATGCTTTTTTATTTGAATATCAGCATAGCACGGGAGACGCGATTATCATACTGCATCTTTGCTTCCTATTTTGTATTTAGGAACCTATTTTGTTCATCATTCGGAAACAACAGCGGCTTACCAGCACACAAGTTACTCCCCTCGCTTACTACTATATCATCAACGGCACCGTGCTGCAAGCACCTGACCTTACCACTCTGCTCAGTTCGCGGTTGCTGACGACAGTGAACAGTTTGAACAAGGCCCTACAGGTTAGTTATGTAACAACCTGACTTTGAACTCGTATCTTCTTCCTCGCCAGGAGCTTTCTGTTCTCTCACAATAGTCCAACTGTTTGCGATTTGACGTTGCAACCTGTGAAGACGTTGAATGTAGGTTCATGGATTTTGTTAAGATAGCTCAGAGTTGAAGTTGAAAGTTACTCTTCAGTGGGAAATCCTGACACTATCTCAACCCCTTCCCCTCGAATTCCTTACAGGCTGCATCACACATATGCTGTTTATGGTGTTGTGTATCCTCACAGCTATTGCCTGTACTCTTTTGATAGCAGGTGTTCGTGGTGACTCATGTCTTGCTCTTTCTGTGAACTACCGTAGCCACCCACATGAATTTGATTTTCGTTTATCTGAAATCGGATCTTTGATTCGAGACTCCTTTCGAATTAGGCCAGGGGGTAGTCGAACTACACAAAAAGTGGGAATGCAGTCTTTCATCTCTGTTATGCTAATAAATGCAGAAGCAGCCATGACGTTCACATTTTGCTGTGAGCTCATTCCCACTTTGCTAGGCCATCGTTCATGGATGGCTGCACTAGTCGTTGGTCCTGTGCGACCGAACACCTACCTACATGCTGTCGGAAAACTGAGCATCTGTCTCATATGGGGGTGTTGTTCTTTGTGTGTGTTTGTCGCTCTTTCAACTTCTTGGCTGTCTGATCCTGTTCGCTTATCGTCAAAGCAGTTCGAGGTAGTCCAAAAATGCAATTTTTGGCGTAATTTGGAAGAATCATACACACCTAAGTGATTTAGTTGAGGTTCATTCCGCTCACAGACTTTGGCTCCTTGTGCCCGCTACCATCCATCGGACGGTTCCTATTCGTGGGATGATCCCAATACATTGTTAGGATTAACCAATGTGGATACGGAAGGTGTTGTCAGTCCAGTCAAATCCGGCCAATCATCCAAGTCAGAGCAGCCCCCGGCCAACCTGTTCCAAGTGCAGCGAGCGGACTTTCTCCTAGCCGAGTGGGCTAATCGCTTCCCTCTTCCGTCGCCAGCCTTTGCCAACGCAGTCAGTGGGGCATCGTTCCCTTCAAGCACAGTGGCGCTGCCGATGACCACGTCCCATTCTATTTCCTTAGTAAGTTCCTTGTTGTTTTACTAAATTCGAGATGACTCAGAAGGCATGGCTCGAACAGTTAGTATTTCGAACTCGCGTCTGATGTTCCAAACGATTCTGTTTACACTTTGGGAACTTGATGGTGCTTTAGCCGTCGTGTGTCTTTCGTGTTCTATGACAGCCGTACGCTGGATGTGTCCAGCAGCTCAAGTGTAAATTTTTCATTTAGCCGTTTCAACCCGTCATCAAGGATACTTGGTAGTATTTGTCGTTAAGCTCCTACCTATTGTCCAATTGCTTCGTATGTCAAAGGACCGTTTACATCGTATAGTTCTCTTCGCCCGGCCTTGTATCGGATGGAGACGACTCAATGACTTGGCAACGAAGCATGAAAGCCCTTACCAGTCAACCCAGTCGCGTTGGCAAACGCTGTGTTTCAGGATGGGGGCCGCAGGACAAGGCAAAACAGGTAGTTAGTGACCCTGACGGATATGGCTGTGTCACACAGCCACTGGTGGTTCTGTGCCAAAGTTATTGCCTTCACTGTATGACTCCAAATCCCTGCAATATCAGGCAAACAGAAGCGTTCGATGATAATGAACTGACTCGACCGTTGCCTCAAGCGCGTGACTCTCATTTCATTATTTCATTTATCCTCTGCGAAAGAAACTGTAGCAGCTGGAACCACTACACTTCGGCGCATGCTTTGTGAGCTGAAAAACTGAACTGATTGGTCGACGTCACACTTTGTCCATCCGAGAGTCAATTTTCAGCGGCACTGGATACTCAGACATAAAGTATAAAAAATGGGACAGTGTGAGTTTCAATCAAGCAAGAAGTTTAAGTCACGAACAACTCACCACGTATGTGCTATCAGCGATACGCACGGTCATGAAAGGAGACGAAGTCACTAGCTTTTAGTATGGACATTCAATATAGGTAGTGTTCTGCAACTTCGAACAGATGGAGCGAAGTGTTCGAAACAAGCAGCACTGCATTTTTCGGCCAGAAATCCAGCGAGGACAGACTTTGAAATCTCGATTTAGTTATCTCACCATGAGGTGGTGAGTCCGCTCTATTTCTATGATAAGAGTGGGAGGATACGTGCAGGTCTAACTCCTCTAGTGACATTTTGCGATCTGTAGCCACTCGCAGGTCATCATCGTCATCATCATCATTGCCAGCTGTAATAACCGCGTACTCGTCGTACAGTGATTGTAGCTGCCGCAGTTTCGTTCACCGATGATTTGGGGGGAGGGGAGGTAGCTGCGCATTGCAGGCGGGAGCTGATAAATTGGTGCATAAATCTAGCACTGCCACTGGGCTGTCAAGTGAAGGGGGGCTGGAAAAGGAGCTATGCATTGAAGGCAATCGCTTGGATGCACGAGCGCCATTGAGGGCGCGACTTGGCCATGTCTGACAATGTCTCTAGCCACTGATGTGGCCCGTCTCGGGGTCCCCATCCAGGAAGACGGCAATGACCAGCGCAGCTGAGTTTGCAGATAATGGCTTTCATACTTCGGTGCCAAGTCATTGTTTGACCGCCACTCGCAGGTACTTCAACGTGCATGATTTTGAGAGCGAAATCTTGTTGCCAGTCAAGGATATTGCCTGTCCGGAATCTTTGAGAATTGGACATTTCAAAACATTCAGGGACCACCCTTCGAGTTATACAGTTCACCCCTATGGAGATTCCCCTACTGAACGGATGGGTCACCGGTTCAGTGCACTTGTCAGTGCATTCCTCAATCAATACGGTTGACAAAAGATTAGGAGTGCTGAATTTCAAGGCCCGATTGGCCTCTTTACTGACAATATGGTGGTGCTGGTGATGGATTCAAAAAGCACCGGCGCATGGCTTTCACTTACTGCTAAATTGTCAAAGTCCTTCGTGTGCTACATGGGCCTGTGTAGATTAGGTGTTTCATCATCTGTTTTCACGTAGACCACACCAATTTGTTTCAATCAGGCTACTGTGGATTCTTTTTTTTCAAAAATCAAGCAATATGAGCACTGCTTTGCATAGGAATTGAACTCTGTCCAGCAGTGACAAGCCAGGATGTTCCCACGTCACATTTAGCTATGTTCGCTACCTCTGGCGCATTTTCTTGGACTTGATTGGTGAGTTTCATAACCGAACACGCTGTACGAAAGACTGGCCTCGTGTCTTGCGTGTTACGTCGAATCACGAGACCTACCGACAACCGTGAATCCGACGGTAGTTGGTCTGTTGTACGTACCCGAGAATTTGTTTAGAACATCCAATATTATCCCGAGTGTGGAGAACGTGCTGTATGTACTAACTGGTGCCCCCCCCCTCAAGCGGACATTTTTGCATCCCCAGATTTTTCTTTGAGGACAGAGAGGGTACTGTACTCAATAGTTTCTCCTCCATACCCCCGAACTGTTTAAATAAGTGACTGAAATGTTAGCAACCATGCTGCCTATTATCTTTTGGCCACCGGACATTGAATGCGCTAATTACTTGGTACTTTTATTGTTTCTCACTAAGTCATGACTGATAGGAAACGTCATTAGGGGCTTTGTTCAGATGGGTTTTTCTCATGGGATTAGTATTTCTTGCACTTTTACGGTTCACTTCCATTCTTCCATTGATTACTCACTTCTCTACACACATCTCTCCGAAAGCCTAGCCTCTTTCGCACTGGTGATTTTGCTTAGACCTCACTGCCGTAGCCCCGTATTAAGCGTTTCGGTAGCTTTAATTCCACTACAGCTACAATTCTCATTACCCATCTTCACCAGTGTCATGTAGTATCTGATTTCTTTCCCTAGCCCGGTACGATAAAGGAAGAACCAACAACCGGTGAACCCGTACAGNGTAGCTTTAATTCCACTACAGCTACAATTCTCATTACCCATCTTCACCAGTGTCATGTACTATCTGATTTTTTTCCCTAGCCCGGTACGATAAAGGAAGAACCAACAACCGGTGAACCCGTACAGATGGTGAGACCCTCAGTGAAGCCCACAGTTCTTCCCCCGAATGTGCCAGCCCCAGGCAGTTTCCCCTCGTCACCACAAATGGACAAGAAACCACGCGTTTGAAACCCACCTACATTTGGTTGTATAAATTTCATCTTGTTGCCCTGTCTTTTTGATCTGGGGATTCTGGGTTTGTGCGTGGTTAACCCCCGTCAGTGTTTAGAATGTCATTGTTCCGTATTTGTGAGTGTACTGTGTGGTATGGTTGAATCTCGAGGTGAGTGATCACGCGAAGCTTCTGATTCTTGTTGGAGCTCTTCTTGTGCGTGTATGGGGATCACATGGCCTTTTATCTGCTAAATAAGCAAACCCAGACAACAATTGCAGTGTGATTTTAGGTGTTATTCCTTGAATTATGATAGGTCACTTTCGTTGAGAAACGGAGTATCTTGCTATGTCCCCTCCCAAAAAGTGCGAAATGATTCTATCCCAAGTTTTACTATATCAAGACTGCTCGCAAGAAAAGAATGGCCTGGGCTGATGAGTTGTCGGACATTGTAACACATACTTCATGCCGTTGGTTATTTAGCAATTTCTCTTGAAAACCGGTGATAGTACAATAATGGGCAGTTAACCCATGCAATTGCACAATCCAAATATTTCGTTCGTTTTGTCCAAGAAATGTCTGGCGAAAAGCGCACACTGATCGTCGAGTTACGGAAAGCGAAGTTGTTGGGGATGATCAAACTATGCCTCAGAAGTCATTTGTTGTCTGCGGTAGGAAGTGCTTTCTCGAGAAACTGGAAATTCGATGAGATATCCAACGGGCCTACCATTTTAGACGGATGATCTCTTCGGGGCGATGGACCATCGTAACAGAATACATGATCTCTTATTTTTTGCCAATCGTCATCCAGTCACCTAGCATTTTCAGGTTACTGCTAATTTATTTAGCGCCAGCGTGTAGCATTCTTTGTGTGGTTGAAGTGGCTGTATACTTCTGCACTTCATGAATCGGATATGATTCGTCATATTGTGATCCTTGAAAAATCTTGCCGTCTCCTTTTCGCAGTCACACACAGTGTGCGCCACGTCAACAGCTGACTAGGCGATGAATGGCACACCACATAGATTCCCCATGTATTACAACTGTCGGTGGGTATGTGCTCTCATGGTCGGTAGTCTCAAGCAGTTAGCTCAAAGTTCACCTGTCGTTCCCCACATATTTCCACCTGACGACTCTCAGTAAAGAAGAGAGGGCTCATATGGCTGATCTCAATTTTCGGCCATGTGTTTCCTTAAATATTGGTTTAGTTCCCGGATACATGACTGGGTTATCCTGGGAGCATTCTAAACGTTCGATGGCTGCTGAGATATAACAATCCGACAATACCGTAGCAATCAGAATTAAAGGAAGGCAATTTGCATCCAAATTGATACTGATCACACTAGTTCTTTAATTCACCTATTGGTGGAAGATTTCAGCCTTATGTGCATCACTCATTAATCATTTTGCTGTAGTTACATTGCTCATAAACAGGGGGAATCGTGGTTCCCCATATATTTCGATTATCCCAGCTGATCTCAATTTTCGGCCATGTGTTTCCTTAAATATTGGTTTAGTTCCCGGATACATGACTGGGTTATCCTGGGAGCATTCTAAACGTTCGATGGCTGCTGAGATATAACAATCCGACAATACCGTAGCAATCAGAATTAAAGGAAGGCAATTTGCATCCAAATTGATACTGATCACACTAGTTCTTTAATTCACCTATTGGTGGAAGATTTCAGCCTTATGTGCATCACTCATTAATCATTTTGCTGTAGTTACATTGCTCATAAACAGGGGGAATCGTGGTTCCCCATATATTTCTGATTATCCCACGATTAAATTCTTCACGGTCGAACTGAAAGCAGGAGAGTACCTGTTTGCTAGGGGTACCTCAAATAGAAAGGAGTCGTTTATCTCGGCAACGCCCCAGGGTCTTTCGACCAAGACATTTGCAAAAGTGTTGGTTTCATTTCAGACAACTTTGTTCACGATCCTGTCGTCGACGCGCTACTGCCGAGTTGTCAGTAGTTTGCAGATAGGTGAAATGTGAGCCTTCGAGTGCGGTGCGATTCGCGCATCTCACGTACTGGACAGATGTGGGAGAACAACCGAACTATGGTAAATCTCTATTACATCCGTATGTATGACACCTGTTAGCACCCACGAGTGCAGGTTGGTATTTGTCTCCAATCATCGAACAACGTCGGAGAATCAACGCTCAGGATGAGTAATGCCACATGTAATTTGCGGGTGTATTCAATAAGCTGAATACTTTTTACGAGGTGTAAACTCGACCCGGAGGACGAATAGCATGGCAAATTGGTGATTCATATGTGACAAATCATGTGAGGGAAATTTAATGTGTTGACACTATCGTGCTCAATGAGGCAACACATCCACCCATATCTATAGAGATGCTTAAATCTTGAGAGAAATGCTCTTGGCAATCAAAGCCGAAATATAGCTGGATTGGCATTCAGAAGTGATTCAGCTATCATAAAGCTACTAAAATTAAGCATCTGAACGGTTACGGTACTGTTAGGACACACTGAAGCCATGGGATTTCTCGTTAGTTGTTTTGCTCAACGTTTATCCATAGACCGTGTGCGTCTCCAGTTACAAACAGTCTTTGGGGAATTGGTTGAGTAATACAACATTAACGCTAGTGACACTTGGCCGTTCGATGGTTTTAAAAGTTACTTTAGGCACTCTTACCTGGATGTCAATTTCAGGAAGGTGCATAAAGCTACCGTATCTTACGAGTATGTTTCATGGAGTATCACGTTTGACAAAGACAAAAGTTTGCCCCAATAACCAGACAAATAGCTTATTTGAGGTTCCGAAAATACTCATGTCTTGTTCTCCAGTGAGAACCAAGGCTATCTTTACCAGTCGTTCAAGTATAGTGAGGCGCATTGCTTTAAGGAATTACCGCAAAGAAATATTCCGATTTAGGAAGCCTTGGGGGAGGGGTATCGAAACGGCGTCTACAGCTGTGAATCACTTGGCTGTGGAAGCACACTTGAGCAGCACTCGTATGCATTCAGAGGACTATTGCGCCCTCGACTGCAACTCCACGATGCAAGCATGGTCCGTTCTAGGAGATGGGATTGCAGGTCATACTTGCTGATACCGATACATGTTAATAATATCACTTTTACAGCGGTCGTGTAACGAATAGAGCTAAGTTATTTCCAGGAATGGAAAAATACCAAGCTGCCAGCTATCAGGACGAGTTCCAATAAAACTAGAGATCTCGGTGTGTCGTCCGTCAGCGTGCATTATTCTAACGTGAAGGTCGACCTTCCCGCAGACTAATCAGGTTTGGACAAACAGTGTGGCAACTTGAATACTTATACTTATATCGCGGATGATATTCGTCACGTGACAGAGCACTGTGTGGATGGCAAACCAAACAACTCATACTAAGATGAGACGCCCAATGATAAACATAAGAAAACTGACCAGAACGTCCGCAACTGATTCTATTGGGAAGACCGCCAAAACTGGGCGATTCGGCCCAAGTATCCTCCAAAAACAGCATCTTCCTATGGGTAAATCATATTTTTAAAGGCCTTCATAGAGAGCAACTACTTGAAATTTTTTCGTACTACGGACAACTAAGACTAGGTTCCTCGTTGAGTTTCTTTTGAGAGGCCAACATAAGATTTTCACAGTAATCGCCTATTCGATGATACTTGCACTAACCTCTTGATGCTGGCATGTATTGACTCGCGACACAGTTAGTGACGTGTGATCCACTCGTTGTCGGACAGCGCAGTACAGCACTACCAGTGTAACGGTGGATACTACTGATGAGGCATACGAGTAGCGTCTTCTCGCAGATCCGCCTCGCGTCTCTTGAAGAGTGAGATCTGTTATGGAATTTGTGGAGTTGCTTTGTAGCATTTGCTTGCATTTGAGTAACAGTCAATGGATATCCAGGAAAGTTTAGGAAGTCGCGTTCAAGGAGAAGATGGATATTCAGTTTTGCAAACAAGATGCATGTGAGAGTTTTGCTCCCCTGTCCAATAATCTGTAACTGTTCAGTTCGCGTTTTCTAATAAACAACTCCGCAGCGAATGCCTTCTTCTCACCAGTACCTTTTCTAAGTAGCTAGTTTCCACCAGAAATGGTTATTTTTTAAAATCGTTATTATTAGTGGTGGGTCTGTGAAGTTGTTATCCCAGACTAAATACTGCAGAACTAGAGCATATAGCTCTACTCTACCTCAAGGTTTTTTATTGTTCCGTTTCCTAATTTGTCAAAGTTCATGATTTCGACCTCACTGAGGCTCTAATACACGGATCTCCCTTGGACGTCTATCTTATTCTCACTGGGCAAAATTGTATCAACTTGAGAAAACTTAACATCACAGAAGGATAGGAAACTGTAGCCTTCGTTTTCCTGGTATGACTTCAACTTTGAAGTACTTCTAAGTACTTTCAAGTCTTAAACAGTTTCTCAACATCCTTTTGGAGTTTCAAAACAGTCAGGTGTAAATTTGCGAAAGTCACCCACCAGAGAAAATGAACTCAGAATCTTGTTTGAGGGGGGAAGGGGGTCAACTTTCTCTGTTATGTGAAACAAAAGAGGTGTGTATCAAAGCGGACATTCGAAAATGGCTTTTTTGGAAGTCAGCCGTAAAATATGGGTGGAGAAAGAAGAATCAGGGCTCTTGCTACTTCCGCTGTTGTACTTCAAGTTTTTGGAAAAGGAGCGGATCGTGCGAATCCGATTTGGTGATGTCTTTTGTCAAATACTGTGTAGAATTTCCTCAGTAGTGGAATTCCCAGGACCGTATAACCCGCAAGTTCATGAGTGGATTCTTTGAGCAGAACACGACATACCTCCTGTCCATTTGTTGTCGTCTGTAGGGCGTACGTACGCGTGCAATTAGACGAAATAATCGAAACGCGGTGACATGGATTCGAGCTATATTCGTAAACGATGTGATTGTAAAATGCATCACAAATGTGTAGAAACTATGATGAAATAAAAAAGTTCCTCTATCTCCAAAAGTTTCCCTCTATTTGGTCGTTCTGTGTCAACCCAGAATGAGAATCTGTGTGCTTAATTTCCTCTTAAAATCCATAACTAATGAATCAGATACTGGAGTTGCAGACAAACTACTTAATTTAGTTTTATCGAAGCTTCTTTTCATCGCCAGTCACTCACCGGTTCCAGTCACGTTCTCATTTAAATCACCCTTACTGCAGAATATTGAGGCATAGCTTTATCCAATCCGCTCGGCTAGCATCTCCGTTTCTTAAGTTTTTCCTCAGGATTCAGTATTCATTCATACATGCTGTCAATATGTTGCCGGACGTTATTCTTGATTGAAATTACCGTTCACCTGTAGGATTCCTGGAACTTCTTGGATGTGCAGCTGCGAAGTCCATGTTTATGACCCCAGATACAGTCCAGCTCGAGAAAGTATTTATCTGGGTTGTTGTAATTGGCCAGTACTTGACAAAAAGGTTTTGGTTGAATGTTCAGTCTCCTCCACATCTGTCTTCACTCAGCATGTAGTAACGGTATTTTTCCCAGCTTAGTTCTTAGTTTGAGCCTCCCAAGCTAGCGTACACGTCAAAGCAACCACCAAAGGTGTACAAGGTATAATAATGCCCAAAACGAAGTCAGGAACACTTGCACAGTGCTTCATATATACAGTGCAAGCGGCAAGACCTTTCTGGAAATTCCGATGCCTTGTGGATCCGCAACTGGCAACTGGCAATCGGCCACTACTGGGTCATGATTGGCTGTTGAGTTCAGACATTCGATCAATCAGATCTCGGCTTGATGCTGGACTGACAAGTGTCCCGAATCTTTGGCCAGTCTTGCGTGGGATCGGCTTTTCGGTCGTAGCAGCACCTGACTACGAGCGTTAAAGCGGAATCCGTGTGAAATTCCGCCTAACTCAGCAGCTCACCAGAATAGTCGTGTGTTGCAACTTCAACATCCCATACTTCCATGTGGGCCAGGTGAATCCCACTGCATTGAGTAGCACAGTAGCCTTATTGGTCAACATCCCACTGTGTACAGATTCACCAGTGTGGCGGAACACTGAATTACTTTTCCAGCGACTACTCTGCTCCACGGAAAGTCAACTGAAAATTTTAAATCTTCCTCGCACTACTAGCATTTACTCTGTTGCCCGAATCGACTTAGTACCGTGTACTGTGTAATAGAAGTCCATATTTTTTTAGTTTTATCATATCCGTAACTTGAATTTCAATCCATTTCATTTTAATGGGAGTCAAAGCATTTGTGTGTCCGTGTATTACAACACCATGGGATTATCTTTATCATCCAAATTGATGAATTTCGGACTGTTAGAATGACCTAAAAAGCCACAGGTTCGCATACGCCTCAGACCAACAATCGTAAGCTTCCAAAATAGACCGGGCATTGACATGCTTCACGCGATATGAGCTCATGAAGGTGCAACACTCAGATTCTCAGGCCGAAACTGTAGATGTCTGTGGTGCGCAGTGACATGATTTGTGATACATAAAATTCAAGATGGATTTGGTCTCGAATTTCTGTAAAATACGATAGCATCTTTGAACAATGAACATTCGCGAGGAATGGCCTTAAGGGTCTAGTGTCGGAAGCCAACCATTCTCGAGGAAGAGGAGAAACGTTTGCACATTTATGATAGCATTACTTAAGACGGCAAAGTGGTATTGTAACTCTTCGTGATAGGAACCAAATCTAATGACTAGATTCTTTTGAAATCTAGATTCACTGCACACAAAGTCACATTACTTTGTTGGAATAAAGTATGACGGACTAGAGTTGGAGCGGAGGCTGTTGTGAAACTCATTCTAAAGTCGTTTTGGTTCCACCAAGCCTGGTCAACTGGTCACGCTTCTTTCCTATATAAACCGTATCTAGGAAATATTGAGAAATCGCCCCCTACTGGCATGAAAGTAACTAATTTGAGAGCGAGTAACTAAGGTTTGATACCTCACCAACTCTGTTGGTGGTGAATTTTCAAAGTGAAAATCTTGTTATAATACATCTACTCGGTCGTCATGAACCGGATCGTTCTGGATTGTGCAAGACTGCCTCTTACTAGCTGTTTCTATTTTTGGATGGAGTACAACTTAACCTAGTGGAGATAAGTAACTGTCAAAGGCGATGTCAGACTTACCCTGTTGGTATAGTACTCCGGACCCAACGACACTGATATTCTGCCAATGAGAAAATGCAGTACAGGTAGGTTTGTCACATGGTCACAGTGAATGGCCTCATTGGCGGCGCTCAGACGGACGGATTTCAAGAAACGATCATTGAGCAAACGAACCATATTTACTGGTAGCCATATCCCGTCCCCTCCACTGTCAATTACTGCAACTGACCCTCGGGCAAGAAGGTCTCCATTGTTAATGCGAATCCTGTGTGAAATGGAAACAGATCTTGGCTATCAGTGTAGCGAGCTGTTGGTAGCTGGGCTAAATTCACTGTTGGTGGATCAAATGACCACTAATTTGTTCGCCGAGCTTGGCAATTGACCTGAAAAAGTTTCGTCTCCGGTTGAGGAGAGGAATGGGTACTGGCTGGGTACTGCCTCCCTACTCGTATGCGTTTATTTAGTTTTCCAAAAGTATCTTGTGTCCTCTCATATGATTGGGCAGTTTGTATGCTCCCTACTAGTAACCTCATCAGCCCGTTTGCGGTTTGAGCTTTATTGTGTTCTTTATTCCACTGGTTTGTTGAGGCGTTGAACCGGATGTCTATCGACCTGGACGTTATGCATCCGGTGTAAACCCGAGGTGGAACATGACTCTGGGGTGGAAGGGAGAGGCCAGTTCTAAAGCCATCAGTGTTTCCGAATGGGGTCCACAATTTTAATCCGAGTAAATGCGTCTGAACAGGCGAGACCCACAGTGTGATCTGGTTGTCTGTACTAATCATAAGGAGCACATTCGTTAAACAGTCCTTTAATATTCATCTTGTTTTCTCCAACGATGCTTACATCTAACAATGCCGTAGACTTAACACACCAGTATGTCAAGAATGTTGAGACAAGTCAATTGTAGATGTATATAGGTGAACGATAAAAGCAGCTTCAACCAAGTGGCATACGGTGCGATAAGTGGTACAATAAACCACGACAAGGTATGGCAAGAAGTAGTCTGGAACAGAAAGAGAAGAGTAGACAGTGTCGCTCTTTGGACACAAATTTTTCTTCTGATCAAGGGGGATATATCCACAGTTTAGTCGAAACAGATGGAGGACTGGTCAGGGTGACTCGTTTTTTTACAAATGACGAGGGAAATCATCACAGAACGTCGGTTAAGTATACTGTTGGTCAATGCCATTCTTACGACAGATTGCTTAGGAGCAAAAGTTTTACATCCGTTCGGATCGGCTTCGGCTTCTTGGTCTTCCAGTTCGAAGGGCGCCGCATGATGACTGTAACCTGACCTTTGTACTTCAGAACTAAGCCACTACTGTTAATGACTCCTGCTCGCACACCTCCCTGGTCATCAGTCACTGTTATGTGAATCCTGGTTCTGGCTCCTAAACGTCCGCTTTTTTAAGTCTGTCCTGTCTAGTGCATACTGCATGCATTATCATTGTCAAGTCGTCAAATATCGCTCGATATTCATGCGCGTTTCTTGGACGTTTGTTTATGTTCCGATCACCAATTCTGTCTGTTTGTCTCAAATAAACCTTCTTTCGATCAGTATACTTAATTTCCCTCAAGTAGTAGCAAGTCCTATTAATCCACAAGACAATCCATTAACTGTACCAGAAACGATCGTGATAGTTCTCTTCCTAAGGGTTACTGTAGTCCTGCACGTATCACATACCCTTTACGCGCTCCGGAGGTCCACCTTTCGTACGAGCTGAATGTTCCCCCAACCCACGTCTTGTTTGTGTCTTGAAACTATGGACAATACTCTTATTAATATTATTTAAGCTCATTGGGTATCCACTTTTTTGACATGAACTGTTGTCACGGCATGGCTGAACTATTCACTGTACAGTGTTTCTACTCGACTAAATGTTGTTGAAACTCTACCCGCTTGTACAGCCTTAAGAAAGGTGGACGAGGGGCCTAAGATGCCGCCAATGTCTATCGGTTTCGGATCAACAGTAGCTTTCAATTTTCTACCATTCATGTGTATTTTACAGGCCGGGAGGGGAAATATACTCCTACTAGACTATAGCTCTATTTTGAAACTATTGTGGGTTGTTCAGATGTCAAGATATCAGTCGAACTCACTGGATTTTCAAGCTTGGGCATAACGAACCTTTTAACTTCGCGAGGCCCAAAACCTCTGGGTAGGGACTAGTACCCGTCTAAATTCTTTTGTCCAAACCCTTTATATGCATATCAGTCAAAACCCGGAATATTAAAGGTCCCGATGCCAGACGTTGTTCTTGAGACAAACAAAACGATCAAAACTCGAGCTTATTGATCTGTTTCCAGCTACCTCACTTTCAGGAAATTGCACCCACTTTTGCAGCATTGTCTGCCAGTAATCACGGCCTTATTTCCTTCAGTGCGTTGTTCTTGAGAACGTTTTGGTGCGTTAAGTCGATATCAAATCTAACATAAACAAAGTTCAAACTTGACATAAATACAGCTACGATTTGGGAAAATTCATATGAATTTTTAAGTGTGTGTAGATAACTCACCGCTAAACTGCTAGAAATCTGTTTAGCTAATAAAAGCGGATTTTCAAAGTCAATTTACAATGACAAATTGGTCTTCATTGGGCGTAGATGCCCATAGGTTCCTTTCTGAGGTCTAAATTCAAACTAAAAACGAATACCGAAAGCTTCTCGTAAACTCCCAATAGTTCAAGTCATTCGGGAAGAAATGGATGAATTGCTGTAATTACGGCTACAAATTGAGCCAACACAGAAGGATCATGTTGACTTCATAGACATTCGATTGAGGACAGTTCTTTAATCGAGCACATAAACATACTGACGAGTAGGCTGAAACCTCTGTGCAGTACCTACCCGTCCATATCGGTTGCTTCAGTTCGCCTCCGTCTAGTTCCTTTTGTAAAGCAAGTGCCAAGTCTCACTTTTTGGGTAGCTAGAAAGATTGCGTCGTTACATATCAGGGTGAGCGGTTCCTATTACTTATTGGGAGAAAACGAATGTTTTTATAGGATACACGTATCTCTGTGACAAATGCTGTGCTACGAAGTTCCACTGCATCCAAAGCGACCGTCCTAGAACTGTCCAACCAGCGCCCACTGTAGGGCGATTCTATAGTACCTTATTAAGCAATGTGCCTGCATGCACTATCATTGTCTCCGTAAAAAAAACTTTTTTCAGTCATCTTTCTTACCATTAAGAGCGCCAAAAACCCATCAACTTACTTGTGTCAAACTTTTTTTCTATTGTGTCATTAGTTGCTGGACCAAAACAAAAATTTCTGGGTGAAAATAGTTGAAATCGAATGAAACAATACTGGCGAGCTCTAATAAGAGCAAAGCTCGAGTCCAATGATTCCACCCTCTAGCGTGGTCTGACCAGAGTAGTTGTACCAAGTCAGGAGGAGGGCTGGTTTTATTACCAACAACTACAGAAACTTATTCTCCGTGTTTAGAAAGACAGTTATCAGCCGAGATCAACGACAACAAATCTTTACTTTCAAAGTATGGTCAATAAACATTGTCTTAGGCTACA